TTGAATTGAGAGAGAGAAGGGGATGACAAGCCTGGTGAAAGGACACAGTATGAACAAAGGTAAATAAAGGTATATGTGGGGGAGCAGAAAGCATCTTACATATTGTGTGTATGTGTGTGTACAGTGAGCAGTCAGTTTCAGAAAGTAATAAAGAAATAAGATTCACCTGAACCAGGAACTACTTCTGTATTTTAATTTTTGGTTTTAAGCTCCTTCATAATTGTATACCAGTGTCACTAGCCTACCTGAATGGTATGTGGCTGACATGTATATTAGCATTTTGAGCATTTCTATATCTGTACTTGATCACATTTGCAACTTCACTTTTTCTTTTTTTTACATTATAAAATTTTTTTCATATTGAAGTATAGTTTATAATACTGTGTTTCAGGTATACAGCAAAGTGATTTGGTTATATATATGTATATATGTGTACATATGTGTGTATATGTATACTTTTTTTTTTAGGTTTTTTCATTATAGGTTATTATAAGGAACTGAGAATAGTACCTTGTAGGTCCTTGTTTATTTATTTTTATATATGGTAGTGTGTATCTTCACTATTTACATTTTTAGAGCATTTATCATATTCCCAGTTTTACACTTGTCTTATTATAACAACTTTTTATTTCACTTTTCTGTGTTTAAGTTGCTCATTAGACCATGATGATTTGAAGAGAGCTGGCTTTCAATACAAATTTAGACGAAGTTTATTCTTTTACTTGTCTAAAATATAGGCATTAGCTGCGGTAAACTTTTTAAAACTTGAAACAGCTACAAAAAAAAGTAATCCCAAATGGTTCCAAGTCATGAAAAGATGGTAGTTATTGTTTTGAGATCTCTAAAATAGGTTCTGCTTTGAAAATAAGAGTTTTGGTTTTTTGAGTGTTCCAGATCCTTTTAGGCAGAACCTTGTATTTTTCAGTAAGCATTTTCTGTGCATGCTGCTTTGTTCTGTCTCCAGTTGTATATTCATGTGACATTTTGCATTCAGTTAGCTCTGCAGAGAAGAGGTTGATGACTCAAGGAATGCGCTAGTTATGAAAGATAATGACTAATTAGTTTTCCTATCTGTGTAACGTGGCAAGTTAAATTACTGAGCTACATGCTGAGTTACAAGTAGGGCTAAACTGAAATCAGAGCTTTTTAGTTCTTTGTCTATGTATAAGCAGCTAGAGTGTTGTGAGTAGCACGTAGATTCTTCCTTTTTGTACCTTTTCACTAAAGACTGGAATGTCTTTGCTTTTTAATCTGCTGTAGAAAGCAAACAACTCTGTAGGGATGGTCTTCCTTATCCTTGGCATTTTACTTTGGGAATCATTTTTTAAAAAATTTGTGTGTACCTACTCTGGTTCCTAATGCGTGCTAACACTGCCAGTTCCCTGATTCCTCACTTTTTATTTAGATTGCCACTTAGTCCTCTTAATTTTCTCACTTCTATTTTTACTGTTTCTCCAATATATCAAAAATACTACTTTTATAACTCTCTGCTCATGAACTAACAACTGTGGCTCATTGTTACCTTCCATTTCAAGTCCAAATTTGTCCTTTATAGTTTTCTCACTTAACCTTCTGATTATACATTCTCTGTGTGATCTAGATCCTACAGTTCTTCCAACATTTAAAAAATTGTTTTTATGGTCTGGATAACCTTTGCTCCTTTCTTACATGTTTAAGTTCCACTACTCGTTTAAAGGATCATCACGAAACCTATTTTTCTGTAAAGTAAACAAAATCACTATGGCTCTATTAACTTAGTATCTTAGGTAAGAACCTTTGGTTGTTAAGTAATAAAATTAGCTTAGGCTAGTTTAAGCTAGTGTAAGCTGAAAGCAGGAATTATATTAAGGATACTGAATTTCCTAGAATTCAAGGTCAGGAACATACAGGCAGGACTCCGTAAAGACTTGTGGTAGTGATATTGCCCACTTGGTTTCAGTTAGGGTACTTAGGAGAGTTGATTCTCTCCCTGTTGTTGTTTTAGTTTGGGTTTTTTTGTTGTGGTTTGGTGTGGTTTGGTTTGGTTTGGTTATGTCATGTCATGCTGTCATTCATTAAAAAAACTAACCTGTTATCAGTAGTTTAGAGGGTATCTTTTCTTTCTTTTTAAAATTTTTATTTTATCTGTTTTTAAAATTGATGTATAGTCAGTTACAGTGTGTCAATTTCTGTTGTACAGCATAATGTTTCAGTCATACATATACATACATATATTTGTTTCCATATTTTTTTCATCAAAGGTTACTACAAGATATTGAATATTGTTCCCTGTGCAGAAGAAATTTATCTGTTTTTATATATAGTTAATATTTACAAATCTTGAACTCCCAACTTACCCCTTCCCACTCCCTTTGCCCCCAGTAACCATAAGATTGTTTACTAAGTCTATGTTTGTACAAACATGTACTCATGGGATTGTTGCTTCCGACATAAAAATGAGGATCTTCCCTGCTAATTTAAAAATGTGTTACATGCCTTAATCTGCAACTTCTTTTTTTGAAAACTAAAAAAAAATCACAATATCTTTCTAAGTCAATTCAATATGTATACCTCTTTATATTTTCATGTGGGTATTCTGTAATTTATCATTTTCCTATTCATAGACATTTAAGTGATACTGATTATACATCTATATTTTGTGCTTTTATTTCTGTAAGATAGATTGTTAAAAGTAAGGTTTATGGGAGTATACTAAGAAAATGTGAAGGAAATTGATTATTTTCAAGGAAAGCATAAATTGCCAAAAGTTACTCAAGCAGTAGAAAACTTAAAGATCCCAGAAACCGTAGAAGAACTTGCAAAGATTGTACTGTCTAAAAATCTAAAGAGGTACCAGGCCCATATAGTGTGTTTTCACAGTCTATGTAATTTTCAAGAGCAGCCAAGTCTCATGTTTAGTGACTTATTCCAGAGCAGATGAAATGATGGAAGACACCCGATTCATTTATAAATTCTTCATAATACCAGTACCAAAATTGTTAATGATAGCATCAAAAAAGAAAATTCTAAATAAAATTTTGTCAGATGAAAGCCAGTACTTTATTAAAGAATAATATGCTTACCTAATGCAAGTGTAGTTCAATATAAACTTAACTATTTATTTCTTTGTATAGTATATAGGAAAAAAATCAAATTTAGATTGGTGTTACAATTTTTACTTTCTTTTATCAATATACCAAGATTGGGAATCATATTATTAGTTGAATGCCACTTGTTTTGTGTATAAAATACATGTAACTTTTTATTTGCATAACAACAATGCACACTTAACTGCTGTTCTGGTGATGCCAGCTCCCTTTACTTACTTCTTAGGTAACCTCATGACTCTCAAATAAATTGTTAAATAAACAAAAATTTTCTCTTTATAGCGTGAATTTATAAAGTATAGTGACACCTAAAGTGCAGTTCTTCATTCTCTGAGTACTGTGTTTGCCATTAGCTTTGTAGCTGTTAGTCTTTTCTGTGGTGGTGTGATTGGGTACCTGTGTGTTGGTAAGAGGAGTGCAGCGTTGCATGATACCTGTTTTGTTTAATTGCACCGTTAGTGTCTACATTCATCAATTTTGTACTGGCTCAAGTTTACTATTTTGAGTTTGTTCAGGAAAAACTCAGTTGGTTTACCACAAAGTTACTTGCTTTGTTTGAGAATTTCAAGTTTCATGGCTTTAGGCCACTTTTTGATAAAGTTTCATAATGATGTGGTCTAGGGACAAAGAGGTTGTCATTCTTGCTACGTCCATATGTAAGCTGTTTGCTTGTGCTATGATAAGAAAGTATGCCAGTGTGGAAGCCCTAGTAATCCAAGGACAACACTTTAAGAAACACTGACCTAAGGATAACCAGTAATATAAACATTTTTATGTGTGTATTCTTGACTTTTTACTGAAAATTTGTATGGGTCCATGTGTCAGTTTGTCCATCTATTCTCTATCCATTTATCAATAGTTAAACAAATTAAATCCTAATATGTCTACTGTTTGTTTTGTTTTTTTCACCACTTACTGTGTCTTAGATATCTTCTTATTAATAAATGTGGCTTTACAATATTGTTTTAAAAATTGAATAATATTCTATTGGATAGAAATACCATAATTTATTTATTGGTGGACCTCTAGTTATTTTTAATTTTGTAATTTTGTAAACAATGCTCCTGTGAACATCTCTGATTGTTACCTTTAGGATAGATTTCTAGAAGCGAATCAGAAGTTATGTACTTTTCCCCCAGGCTTATATGTAGATATAGGTATGATTATATTTATGTTTATGTTTATATTATTTTATGCAAATGATTACAATAGTTATAATAAATAATTTATGCAACAGTATAATAACTGCAAACTGTTCTTTGTGAAGGTTATGTCAACCTGTGTTTCTATAATTAGTATATCATAATGTTTTTATTACTAGAAAATGAAATTTTAAAAAGAAGGCATATAAAACCCAAGTCCAAATTTTATTGTTAGATTCAGCAGACATAAACTTAGCACTGTAAAGTTGCTGTTATAGTTTCTAAATGCCTACTGTCATTTTCTGAACATATCTTGTCATGGATGGTGGCATGGACATAGTTAATGGACTATCAGCAGACCACATTTTTAGTAGCACCGTTTTAGCCTAGGAGCCAACCTAGAAGGGGGATATAGGGGGGTGAGGGGATGGTTCGTGTCTCTTACGTATGTGGTCGTTTAATCCTCTAGCTTTCTGTATTGTACCCATCCTCTCAGCTGTGTCTGGTATCCTCTATTTCTGGGATTCTGTTTTACTTGCTGCAGAGAATAAGGGTCCAGACTTCTGCTGTGGTGAGGGAACAGCAGTCACTTAGCACGATGGGGTGGGGAAAGGAATCTTAGCATCTAACCAAAACTCAAGTAGCTTTCTCCAAATTTCTCTTTATTTTAGCCTCTTCCTCCTTTCCTCCCATTTCAGAATTACTTGGTGCTGCCAGTTCCTAAGTCTTTTGAAGATTCAGAGTGTAAAATGGGTTAGTTCCTGGTTTTCCCCACTGTCTGCCTGGGATTGTTTTCTTGGGTCTACAAGGTCATTTTACTACTTACTTATCTGCTCTCCAGCATCTAGAATTTTGTTGCCATTGTCGCCTCTTCTGTTTTCCATTGTTAATTTTTCTTTAAGGGCTGCTTACAGTTTGTCACTTTGCAGATGTTTCTCTCCTCAAGTCTTTTCTGCTTTCTTAATAACTGTGTTTACAAAATATTCACATCTCTTTTGTAGATTTTATTGTTGACAGCTGTTTCTTTTATATCACATTTCTCTTTTTAGTTCATTTTTCTTACAGAAATTTGGTTTCTACTGAAGTATTTACTTAAAACTTTTTTCTAGAGTACGTATGTAATATATTCTCTGAATCGTTGCATACTAAAATTGTGTTTTTCCCCTCATATATGAGAGTTTTCCTGGGTGTAGAATTAATTCCTGGGTTATTCTCCCTCAGAACTCTATGTTATTTCATTGTCTTGTAGCATTTAGAATTGTGAGTGAAATGTCTACTTAATGTTGATGTCCGATTAAAGTTAGTTTTGTGTGTATCTTTTTAGGTAGGTCCCTCTCCACCCTTTCTGGGTAGCATTTCATTTTTATCTTTTAAACTCAAAGGTTTTACTGGGATAAGTTATGGATGTTGAGTTTTATGCTCTCCCACTAGTAATCTTGCCTGGCATTTGGAGAGTCTTTGATTTTGAAAATTCAAGCCTTTAATAAAAAACAACTCAATGTAATTTTTTCTCTTGTTTTCAAAGTCATTATTTCTCCCTCCATTTACTTTGTTCTCTCTTTCACATCAGTATGTTCTTTTTTCTCAGTATATTAGCTGAGATCTTACTGAGATTTCCAATAATTATTGATTTTTTTTTAAGTTTTCTTTTTTTCCCCCTGCAGTAACTTTCATTGTAGCTACTGTTTTTCACTGCTGGATGGGAGAATGGGCAAAAGGCTTCTCTGAGTGTTCAGATCATTTTTCCTTTTTTGAGCTGCTGCATCCACTGATGTTTTTGCATGCTTATCCTTTTTGATGGCATTGGGAGTTGAGATGTATTCTTAGAGAATAAACCCAAATTTTCTCAGTTGTTTTGGTTAGATGGATTGGGGAACATTAATGTGATAGCTTAGAGATAATAGTTTACTTATGTGGAGAAAGGACAGAATTCTAAAACAGAAGATAGCCATGGATATAGAAAGATGTATCTCTGTTCAGAAATAACTTTTCCTCTTTACTTCTCTCCTAACAGCTGGTGCTAGCAACCCCCAACTCTGTCTGGTCTCTGGACCCAGCTCAAAGCTCTGGATTCGTTCTCTTCCCATACCTCAGCCCAAGCCTTCTGTCACCCCAAAGGGCTTCTTCACACAATCTTCCTGTCAAGCCCTTACTTCTCTCCCAAGGTATGTTCAGAGGAGGGAGTGGGTGGAATTGCTACTTCCTTAATCAGGGCATGGTAGATAATACATTCATTGAATATTGGTTGAATGAATGTCCCTTCTTTAAAAGTGGTGCTTGGGACTGGGCCAGCATTTGTTTTCACACTTCTCTCTCTGGACTATTTCTCTCTAAACACATTATGGCATGTGCATTGAATTATGTTTCTTGCCATTTTGTAGGATTTTCTAAATTACATATTTTGGTTTGTGTTTACTGGGCAGTTGGGAGAGGGAGAAAATCAAATGACTAAAGTTGCCTTCTTGATGCAGCAAACTTTTCTGGTTACTTTAAAGGGCCAGTCATACCTTAAACAAATAGTATTATTTTAAGGCTTGAGGAGATGGTGGTCAAGTCTTATTGAGGTAATAATACATAGATAGGAGGTAGTAATTTAAATAGGAGATTTAAAATCAGTAATCGTTATTGGTAAGAAGTAGAGACTGGTCTGTAGTGAAAAGAGGATTAGCTAATAGGTTTGGAAGATTAAAGTTATAATAAAATTTCTTTCCTTTTTTTAACATTATCTGAGCTGTTTACAATATACAATACATTTTTCCCCATAGGTGGCAACCCTAGTATAATTTGCTACCATGAATCTGATTGCTGCCACATAAAGTAGGTTGAACATAGCTGAAGACAAAAGAGATTCTCCAAACTTAAAATGTGAGGGCAGGTAACCCCTCAGATACCTAAAATACACAAACTTTCTTGATACTGTCATATACACATCATACGCTAAATATAAAAAATAATAACATTCAACATAAATTACTTAGCAGTTATCAAACGTAAGTAAAAGCTAAGTGGATTTCTTAATAAGGTGGTCTCTTTTTTCAGCTTTGTTTTGCCTGTGAGGAAATGGTGTGCACTTTAATGGGTAAACTTTGTGGCATCTGTTTTGGCTGCCATGCATCCGACTTAATTTTTTTCTGTTTTTTTTGTATACCAGAAGCTTGAGGTTGCTGGATGGTCAACTGAATAAACACTGTATTAATGTATATGTCCTGCCTCTTCCTTTAGATTGCAAGCTGCAATTAAAGGTAGGGACCATGGTTTTGAATTTCTCCCCAGTACTCATCAAAATGCATCAATCATATTTATAGTAGTTTTTTTTGTTTGTTTGTTTGTTTTGGTATTAGGTTGATTGAGTTATTTAAATCATGCTGATCGTCAGACTTCAGCATATGTGTTTTCTTGCAAAAAAGTTTTAAATTGTATAGATATTTTGATATGAAATTGTTGATATTTAGAAATATTATCAAAATCTGTCATCTTTTAGCATTACACATATTTTTGGACACATGTATTATTACTATAAGAAGCAGCTTGCCTTTTGTGATGAAACCTATGATACAGTCTCCTCTTGATCATATGTAGTAATAGAAGAGCTTGGGTATGGGTAGTCCAGAATGACTGCAATATGGTATCCTGGCAAATGCAAAAGAACCATTACTCGATGTGCTTAAAAAGTTTCACATGTTTGAGCCCTAACCCCAGGTTCTGGTATGGCGAAAGCTCCAGGTGATTATGATGCTTTTCACTGTTGAGAATGTGATGCTCTGTAGAGAGTCTTCTCAGTTGGTGTGGAGTGTCCACCAGGAATCATTGAGCTTTTTTCTAGCCATTTATTGTTTTTCTTACTTTTGAAGAAATTTTTACATTTGGCTTTAAATGATATAGTAAAAAATTTAATTTGTTTTTACTGTATTAGGCATGGTATATTAAAAAAATTTCAGTAAACTGGAAGTCTTCTAATAAATTCATTATCAGGTTAGCACATATATGTTTGAAAAGTATAGAAGGTGTTTTTTAGACCTAACCAAAAGTTTTAAGTTTGAGAAATATTCAAAGGGCCTCTTAATAGTGATGTAAAATAATTTAACTTTTAGTTATATTCCCTTAGTAAAGGACTTTTTAAACAGTGAAGTTCCTAGTTACTTAGATTAATTGAAATTTAGAGACTTTTGAATAGACATTATGGATGAAGCTTAATGTAATCAACACTTTATTCTTTTTCTAAGCTTAACCTAATTATATCTATTAGTCATATACTGTTTAAGACCATGAAAGTAAGAAAATGTGATTCTTCTAATATACTGCTTGATATTTTTACTACTGAACCTTCAGTACTCAGATTCCATTCTCAGCAATGAATTGTCACATTTTACTGTCCTGTTTTCTATTCCTCTGTGCTTTGAATCATAATGTCTCATATGTGGTAATCGCATACAGTAATGGTGGTAGCTACAGCTTACATAGTGCTGTACAGGATGCTGTTACACATGTTTGTCATTTAATCCTCACAACAACCCTGTGAAAGAGGTAGGAGAAGTACTAATTTTTTTTTTCACTTTATAGATGAAGAAACTAAGACACAGAGACTGAAACTTGTCTAGAGTAACACAAACCAGTAAGTGTTTGAACTATTGGAGGCAGATAGTAAACTGTACATTCTGATCTGCTAAGGGCTTTCCTTGCTAACATCTGTCTAAGTTCTAGCAACAAAAAAGCCAAATAGCCAAAAAGGTAGGGAACCAGAATGGTAGTAGATAGACTAGGAGCACCCCAGGGATATGTGCTACTCCTTTGAGTTTCTTCCGTTCTTACCAGTTAGTGTTGCTAACGTGAGCGAGCAGACAGTGTCTTTTTGTTGTTGTTAGATGAATGAACCTTTTGTTTTAAGCAGATTATCCCTGATGCACTAAGGAAGTAGGAATCTGCAGAGAGGTCTGTTGACTTTCTCACAAGGTAATAGACACAAGGTCAACTAGCAATTGAGAAAGTTAATGGCACATGTATATAATTGGAACCGTGTCTGTAAGTGGAACTTAAGTTTATAGGGCTCTCTTGTTAAGAGTTTTAAAATCCTGTTTAAAAACTATAGTATCGGTTTGATATAAAAATCTTAGCGCTTAAAGGTGCTTATCCAGTTGTGGTTTTCCTTAGATGAGGAAACTGAGGTGCAGAGAAGTTGAAGCTTGCCCAGCGTCACACAGCAGAGCTAAAAGTAAACCTTGTATTTCCTGAGATCCAGATTAGTGTTACTTCTACTTCAAACCATTGCTTCTTGGTAAGCTCTTCTTAAAATACTTAACAGTTCTTTTATATCTTTTATATGATCAGCATTCTTCCTTTGTGTCAAATGAACTTAAAATATGAAATTTACTGGTACTTCTGTGTTGAAAATGTTTGTTCTTTGTTTGATTTTAGGCGAGTTAATGTGTGAAAAATCCTGCTATTTTGAAGATGTCACGACACAGTATTGTTTCCTGTTTAAATTACAAGTAACTTCAAGTGTTTTCAGAAAAAAAGAAATTGGGATTTTTTTTTTGGTTAAATCATGCCATCTGAACAGCAGCATTTATTTTTTGATGAAAACCAAACTACTTTAAAAAAAGATTGTGATATGAAAAATGAAATAGTTGATACTCTCAGATCAGTACTTAAACCAAAAATTTCAGAAAGTAGTTTTCATTATGAACTAAAAAATGTGAAAATTATTTTGCCGAAGATAAATATTCCAAATGAAATTCTATTGAAACATGACGTTGACAAATACAGAAAATTATTTCAGTGTAAACCGCAGACTGCAAGAAAATCTGTCAATTTAAAGACTGTAAGCTGTGTAGATGAATGTATATTGCTCCATAAGTCTGAGAGAGTTGAAGAAGAGGGTATAAAAATGTCTGCAAAAATACTGAATTTCAACTGTTTAAAATGCCGAGATAGCACTCGATATAGCCCAAATGATTTGCAGAAACACTTTCAAATGTGGCACCACGGTGAATTACCTTCATATCCTTGTGAAATGTGCAGTTTTTCAGCAAATGACTTCCAGGTATTTAAACAACACAGACGAACTCATAGAATCACTTTAGTAAAATGTGGCATTTGTAACAATGAGAATTTATATACTTTATTAGACTTGACAAAGCATTTTTCATCCACACATTGTGTAAATGGTAGTTTTCAGTGTGAAAAATGTGAGTTCTCCACCCAGGATGTTGGCACATTTGTCCAGCACCTTCACAGACATAATGAAATCCTTTATAAATGTGATAAATGCCATTATATCTGTTTAACCAAAGGAGACCTTCAGAAGCACCTTCATATTCACTCTGGAACATTTCCCTTCACTTGTCAATATTGTAGCTATGGTGCTATCAGGAGAGAGTACCTTGTAAGACATGTTATAACTTTGCACAAAGAACATTTATATGCAAAAGAAAAACTGGAAAAAGACATATATGAAAAAAGGATGGCAAAGACTTCAGCAGGACTTAAGCTAATACTGAAAAGATACAAAATAGGTGCATCAAGGAAGACATTCTGGAAACGTAAGAGAATCAACAATGGAAGTGACAGAAGTATAGAAAAAAACACTCAAGTGCTTAAAAAGGTGAACAAAACACAGGCTAAATCTGAAGACCAGAGCCATCTTGTTCAAGAACATTTAGATAATGAAAAGAGTGAAACACTATACTGTGAGAATAACGATAAACCTGCTGAGTCAGAGTCAGAAAAGCCAACTCTTCTGTCTCCTGGGCAATGTAACAGAGCCGAAGAGGGATCAAATTCTACTTCAGGGTTCTTAAAGACTGCTGTGCAAGGACCTACAGTGTTAATGGTGAAAAATAATAGAATAACAATTCCTGCTAACTACAGTGCTAAGTTTATGGGCTTCAAGATGGTGGATGGAAAACAACATATTGTGATAAAGTTGTTACCTACCAATAAACAGAATTTGTATTCCCCAAGCTCACAGTCAGGTGCTGCAAGGGACAGCACTGCAAATTTACAGCCTCAGACTTTGGACACCACTGCGTTTTTGACAGGAGTAACAACGGAGTTAAATGACACGATTTACATGAAAGCAACTACTCCATTTTTATGTTCATCTCCTATAATTTCAGGGAAAGGAACTTCAGAAAAAGAAATGCCTTTGCTATCTCAAACAGATAATTTGCTTCAAACAGTGGATGATGAAAAAAGTGTATCTTCTTTGCCAACAACATCAGAATTGATTACACCATCAGTGAGTTTGACCACAAAAGTGGAAACAAGAGATAATGTTGACTTATGGGGAAGTCACATTACTCAGTGTCACCCTGAAATAACAGGTACTGCCATTGAAAGTCCAGATAAAGGCACCTGTACTACCAAACCAAATGCTTACAACAGCGGAGATATGCATAATTATTGTATTAATTATGTCAACTCTGAGTTACCTGTTGACTCTTCCAACCAAGGATCATTACCTTTTCATAATTACTCAAAAGTGAATAATTCTAATAAACGTCGTAGGTTTTCAGGAACAGCAATGTGTGAAAATCCTCCAAGAGAATCTTCATCAAGCAAGACCATTACTCAACAACCAATAAGTGAATCGGTTTTATCGCTAGTGAGGAAGGAGAGCTCAAATCCAGATAGCCTGTTGGCATCTATTAGTCTTTTAAATAATAAAGATGGAACTTTAAAAACACAAGCAGAAATTGAAGAACAGTGTGTTTTAGAAAAAGGACAAAACATTGATGGACAGAACCTATTCACTAATGAAAATCAAAATTTAGAGAGCATGACTGAAAAACATAAGTGGGGTGAGTTTTCTAGTATTGAGTCACCTATGATGCCTAGAATCACATCTGTTTTCTCTCTCCAGAGCCAACAGGCATCAGAATTTCTGCCACCTGAAGTAAACCAGTTACTTCAAGAAGTATTAAAAGCGAAACCTGATGTAAAACAAGACTCTGGTAACACTCCAGATAAAGGCTTTCCACTTCATTGTGACCAGTCATTTCAGAAGCATGAGGGAGAAGACAAAATAGTTGAATCTTCAAAAGACTTGAAAGTACAAGGCTTCTTTCCGATTCCATCTGGTAGTATGGGGATTAATGTGCCTACAAATGATCTGAATTTAAAACACAGTGGAAAAGAAAAACAAATGTTGTCAATGTCACAAGATGTGAGAGATTCAGAGAAGACTCCTAGAATTTCTGGCTTTGGTACATTACTTAAGACTCAGTCAGATGCAATAATAACACAGCAGCTTGTAAAAGACAAACTACGAGCCACTACACAAAATTTGGGTTCTTTATATGTGCAGAGTCCACCTCTAAATTCAGAACCCAAAAAGGCTATATTTGTTCAGACTCCAAAAGGCTTTTTTGTACCATTGCACATTGCTAACAAGCCTGGATTACATGTTTCAGGAAGACCACTTCCATTGGTTAACACACAAGGTGTCCCTGCCTCTCTTCTTCTAAACAAGAAACCTGGGATGATTCTAACATTTAGTAATGGGAAACTTGAAGGTGTTTCAGCTGTCAAAACTGAGAGTGCTCAGGCTTCTGGAACCACGACTAAGGATCCTTGCAGAACACCTTTTTTAAAAGTAGAACCAAACGGTAATTGTCTGACACCTGCACTTTGTTCCAGCATTGGCAGCTGTTTGAGCGTAAAAAGTAGCTCAGAAAATACTTTGTCATTAAAAGGCCCTTACATTATTAAAACGCCAGCAGGTTCTTCGGTAAAAGCTGTTCCTACTCCTAATGTAATACCTGAGCATCAGGGCACTAAGTTGAATATCTCGGATTCAGTAAAACAGCAGAACAAGATTTTTCCGAAACCACCTCTTTACACCCTTTTGCCTGATGGCAAACAAGCTGTTTTTTTAAAGTGTGTGATGCCAAATAAGACTGATCTGCTTAAGCCTAAATTAGTCCAAAATAGTGCTTATTATAAAAATATACAGCCAAAGAAACCTGAAGGAACACCACAAAAAATTTTGCTGAAAATTTTTAACCCTGTTTTAAATGTGACTGCTGCTAATAACCTGTCAGTAAGTAACTCTGCATCCTCATTGCAGAAAGACAATGTACCATCTAATAAGACCGCAGGAGGAGAGCAGAAAGAGCCAGAGTCTGCTAGAGATGCCTTACCCTTCTTACTAGATGATATGATGCCAGCAAATGAAATCGTGATAACTTCCACTGCAACATGCCCAGAATCTTCTGAGGAACCAATACGTATCACTGACCATTCAGAGGCCAGGGTATTAAGGTGTAAAACAAATTGTACAATTGAGAGAGGCTTCAGTAGGAAAAAGACTTCGAAAAAAAAGTTATCAAGAATAAAAACTCAAGTAAGAAGTAAAGATTCTGAAATTGCCTTTGTGTCTAGAAACAGAAGCTGTAAACGAAAGTGTAGGGATAGTTACCAAGAACCTCCAAGAAAAAAAGCATTACATAGAAAGTGTAAAGAAAAAGCAAAGCCTGAAGATGTCCATGAATCATTTGGGTTTAGCAGACCTAGGCTTTCAAAAGATTCAGTCAGAACTTTGCGGCTTTTCCCCTTTAGTTCCAACCAGCTTGTGAAATGTCCTAGGAGAAACCAACCAGTTGTAGTTCTGAATCATCCTGATGCAGATGCGCCAGAAGTAGTAAATGTAATGAAAACTATTGCTAAATTTAATGGACGCGTACTCAAGGTTTCATTGTCAAAAAGAACTATTGATGCTTTATTGAAACCAGTTTGTTGTAACCCTTCTAAAACAAGTTACGATGATTTTTCCAAGAGGCACAAAACATTTAAGCCGGTTAGCTCTGTGAAAGAAAGATTTGTGCTAAAATTAACACTGAAAAAGACGAGCAAAAACAATTACCAGATTGTGAAAACTACCTCTGAAAATGTTCTAAAGGCTAAGTTTAACTGTTGGTTTTGTGGCAGAGTATTTGACAATCAGGATGCTTGGGCAGGTCATGGGCAGAGACATTTAATGGAAGCTACTCGTGATTGGAATATGTTAGAATAATTTACTGTACTTAACCAGTGAAAAGGAAAGTAAAATTACCTTAGAATAAAACAGTGGGTTGAAAGCTAATGCAGACATTTTTTACTTTAATACAGTACCTGAAACGTTTAAAAGTTGGCTCTGTTTCCACGGAAGAGAGAGTTTTAGTGTGGTATTTGAAAATGCTATCAGTGCACATGTAAGTTTTGAAAGTATCTAATCAGCACAGATGTACCTTGATTTAATATTTTAAATGTGTTCTTGGGAAGTTAGGGCCAAAGAGAATTTTGATAGAACAGTTTTCCCAGTTTAGTTCTTTAGTGACTCTTAGTAGAGGGTAATGGCTGACAGCCACATTCCCTCTCTTCTTCCACCAGCCTTATGACTCTGATAAGTATAGCTCCTCTAAAGATGGTGAGAGCTCTTTCACCATGGGGCTGAAGGAGTTTCTCATCATGTGTGAAGATACACTAAGAGAGCGTGGATAAAGAAGTCATGTACATCTGCAAAATAATAGTTCTTTTGAAGGTAATCAGGCTCCTTTGAGAGTACATTTAACTCAACTACAGTTACACCTCATATGATGCTTGATAAGAGTTTTTGACAAGTAGGTCTTTCTTCCTTGTAAGCTGTGTCCCATGTCAGTGATGGGAACACCCTTCCAAGGTGATTTTCTTTTCTAAATGGCTGTGTCAAGCATTGAAGTAGATGGGTTGCCTTGAGAGAAGAATTAAACCCTCCTGGTCTAGTTTGAACTCCAATTAAATAACTTGAACATTTTTCTGAATTTTATTATATTCTCCAGTGATTCCCTTGCACAGAAATATGTTTTATTTGATTTAAATTGTCCCCATAAACAAAATGGCCATATTTTTCCCTTGGTTGCTATCCCTTTAAAGAGTGAAACATAGAAGCACTTTCAAGGGAATGGCTTTTCTTGAAAGTTAAAAATTATTCCTCAGAAACTATTTTGAAGCAAGATTAGCAAAGCAAGTCATACTTTTGTGTTTTATTATTAATGTCTAAACATGTCCACATTGGTATAAACCATTTTTGTTAGCAACTTTTCAAAATGACTGACAACCCAAAGCAGGTTATTTACTGATTGTTTGCAGTTGAAAATGAAGGAGCATTAATAGTGGACTCAGTGGCAGAGCATAAAACTTCAGGACAGATTCCAAAGGGACGTACCCAACAGGTAGGGTTTTAAAATAGTTATTTTCATGACAACAGCATCATCAATTTAAACTTTTCACTTTGTAAGTTTGGATCAAATTTTGTTGGATCATTGGATAATGGAATTCTTGTAGTAAAAAATTACATACTATATAATTTTTGTTACATTGTTACTACAGGTGTTACAACATTTTCATTGATTGAAAACTTCAGGGCTTCTTTTCTGTATATAACAAAGAATTTAAACTTGTACATATTTTTGTACCGTTCAGTTTGTTATGTAAATTTTGCACAGAAAATTTTTGACATAAAAATTTATTTTCTTTCAATTTAGTTCTGTGCATGCACTAATAAAACTTGTTCTTTAATTTAAAAGGAATATATAAGACTTTACCCATGTTATTTTTTTGTTTTTTATTTCAGATGTACAATTTTTTTGGGGTAAATTCAGTTTTCAGGGATTGAACACTATTGTTAGCAAGTGCCTAAATGATGTGAAACAGTTTACATATGTCAACTGTAACAGTAGGTCCCAAATGGGCCCATTTCCCCAATAGTTTTATTTTAAAGAAAGCCATACATAGATGCTTAAAGCTATCTTGCTATGCACATTATACATGTACTGTTTTTGTGCAGTTTGTCTACTTTCCTAGAAGTGAAGTATTTTTTTGTATAAAATCTGTTACAATTATGTTTCTTAAATTGAGCCTAAGAATGGAGTTGATTGGAAATACACAGTATATATTAATAATGTATATGGTTGTTTAAAGAATGGTAAACATTGTTAATTTCTGTAATGAACATTTTCCTCTATTAAATTTATCTTGTTTGTGTTTACCCAGTAATTTTTTTTACTGTGCTAGAATCAAATGGAACTTTTATTCTAATGGGAAGTATTTAAATTTCAAAGTTTCTTTTTTTAATGCTAGAGAACAATGCAAAATAAAATGGATTTCCCCCCCCCCCCCAATTATAGGTGAAATTTTGAAGTTTTGTTTGAGAAGGGTGACATTTACTGTGATTTTACTGTTCTGGTAAGGAAAGCCATAGAGAGGCTTATGTTCTTCATAACTGCAATAAAGCTGAAATGCTCTGTTGTTATGGTTAGCTCTAGTATGATACATCACCTTCTGTGAATAAAGAGAGCGAAGGAGCTATCTTGCCAATGTTTGCAGCACTACAAAAATACATTTTAGAATAGCCATACTGTTAAAAAAAATCTGATGTTGAGATACATACTTTTTGCCTTAAGGTCTTAAAAGCTATTTAAAAAGCTTCATGCCCCAGATACTCTGTGTGGTTGGTACCTTTTATGTTAGGTTTTTTTTTTTTTAAACTTAGGCTATTCTGAAGGAGGCAAACCTGCTTGGAGCCTCTTTATTGCCAAAGCAGAAAATCCAAAAATAAAACCCTCTTATCTTTTCTTTCCTCCTGGCTGAAACTGAGCTAAAGATGGCTTTCCAAAATATATTCATTAGTTTGTGGTTCTTATTACAACTGGAAGAGTTAGTTGTATTTTGCAATACAGCTTCTAGGTCAGGAATTTGTTTCATTTTTTCTATTTTTCCATCTTCATTGAAATGGGCCTCATTATTTGTCACTCATTTAAAATAATAATTTAATTTTCAAAGAGTTTACCTTCTTACCCTATCTAAGCATTCAGCACAGATTGAAATGTAATAGTTTTTTTTATGAAAAATACTTTTGTTAAGGGGTCAGTGAGGTATTTCAGTAAAGGATCAGGTATGTAACTTAGGCTTTGTAGGCTATTTAGTCTCTGTCACGAGTAGTTAACTGTCATCGTGCGGAAGCAGCCATAGACAACAATGAATGAGTGTGAAAAAAAGGACAGTGGGCCTAATTGGGTCCCACCATATGGTTTACCAACCCTTGCTTTCTCTCAAAGGAATGTTCTTAGAGTGGAAATTTTATTAAAGACAGAAGTTTGATACAGTTTGTGTGTGTGTGTGTGTGTGTTGTACACTAGCTGTATACAAGTTGTAGTAAAAACTAAAGTACTTGTGTGTGTGTGTGTGTGTGTGTGTGTGTATATAAAATTTACCAATGAAGATCTATTTGTTTAAAAGTGGAACAAATGTAAAGGTAATGAAAATAATGCTAAAGTAGATAGGTCTTTTGTGTGCTATGGGTAATACAACTTATGGAGGGGTTAAAAATGAGATTAAACAGAATTGCTGTGAGAATTTACATCTAGGTTAGATAGATACTAGTTCTTTTAGTGATTTGAAATCACTGGTGAGAAAAAGTAGTAGGAATTCTTTTGGATGAGGGGAAATGGAGGCGAGCTGAAAACAATATTGTATTAATTTGAAGCAGCTCACTTGTGGTTTTTTCTTTTTAATAAGTGATTCCTTTTCACCATTGACATCTGCTTACTTAAGGTATGTCTCATTTGTGCTGGGGTAGTGGCTCTGTTCCTTGCCTCAGCAATTTACTGTGATCCTTGTTTTCAGCAAAGTGCCTTGGGGATCTCATCTAGAAGTTTCTGGGAGATGTTAAGACTGTGGTATTTGCAGGAGAATTTCCCTATAATGGACAGTTGAAATAGGGTCAGCTTGGTTGATTTTTCTGTTCATTGCTTTAAGTATGCTTCCCTTAATAATTGTTAAGAAGTAGTCAGTATCTTGGAAGAGATGGTTTGATAGTCTTCTTTGAATTATTTTTTGACTGTTTCTCTGTCTAAAATGGTGTCTGTTAATAAATGCCCCAAGCTTTAAGAATCGTTTTTCTTTAAAAAGTGAATATAAATTATGGCCGTGTAAACTTGAGTAATGTAGGAAGAATGTTAAGATACTGTACATCACTTTTGAAAATCATAATTTTAGTTGATGCCAAGGATGTACTTACTAAAAAACAGTCATTCCAGTAAAGACATTTTTAATATGTTAAAAGAACAATTCTTCCTTAACTTTAGAGTCATTCAACCAAAAGTGAAGATTATGTTCAGGTTGCAACTCAGATTGCTTCTGTCAATTAAGGAGTGAGACAGGTGCTTGCTATCATCAGTTATTTCGTAAGTTATTGCTAATGTAAAAATGATAGGAAAGCAAAATGAAAAGTTGAAGGGAGACCAAAATACTATTTGCAAGTGACTTTATTTCAGTATCTTGAAAATCCAAAGGAGTACACTGAGAAATAGTTACCTTTCCTGAACACTTGACAGTAACCATTTGGGAAGCAATAAAAGAAGACCAATTCATAATAAGAGCCACAACATAATAGTAGTTGTGTGAAGCTGCCAAAAGAAAACCCACAAAACCTAACTGGGAGAAATAACAGTGTTTCTAGGTATAAAATTAACTATACGCCTCTTTGGTAGATCCCAATTTCCATGCCTGTGGCCCACAGAAGACTTGTATGGAATAGATGGTAACAGCTGGTTAGTGATACCCATTGCCCCACTCCCTGTTTCTACAATATAAGGAGAATCAGGGCAGAGCAGTTACAGAATAGTGCAGTCCTCCATTCCCACAAAGCTCTGTTGCAAGAAACCTATCTGGTTTGGTTAGATTGGCAGCCAAGTGGCAGTCCACATCTCTCCCAGCTGTCTGGTGCAGAAGAGTCATTATATATATGTTCAGCAGCTGGTGAACACTGACACATCCCATTCTCCCTGGTTCAGGGCTATAGAAGAATCATACTGGGAGGTGGCAGCAGATTCTCCTCACATACCTTCCCCCAACCCCCAACACAGCTGTTCTACAGGGAGGATTCAAGAGGACACTGAACAACCAGTTCCCCAGCCCTCCCCACCCCACAACCTGCTCCATAGCACAGAGGCATGGAGGTGGGTTGGAGTGAGCTTCAAAGACCTAACAATATTACCTGTTACAAAGGACCTGACTTTAGAACATACTGGAGCAATTTATACTCCATAGTATTGCTGAAAATAATACAGCAATCATATAGCAATTAGTGAAGGCTAACAGTTGCTGGTGATACCATAGATACCAGCCAGAAGCTTAAAGACAAGAGAGAGAGAAACCAGACATCTCTTGTGATCAGAAAGATTCTGTGCATGCTCAAGGCTGCAGCCACATAGGAGCAACCCTGACTGAATGTAGGGCAAAACGTGAAAACTCCCTAAACCGTGAAAGAGTCTCCAAGCCTCACACAGCTCTGATGGCAAAGGATGTAAATCTCACTGATTGAGGGGGCTTAAGCCCAACCTCTGATCAATCAGTGGCTGATCGCTAAATGGTGCTGACTTAAAAGCAACACCTAGGAAGTCAGGTTTAAAGATAAAAATGAGGGGAAGCAGTGACATCAGAGGCTGCTTACTATGAGGGGAAAATAGACTTGGTGAATTAGTTCAGCCAAGTCAACTAAAAACAAGTTCAGAGTTGGGGAGGAATATGCAGAGATCCTACAATATATTACCTAAAATGTCCAGTTTTCAATAAAATTATGAGAGACTCAAACAGTCAAGTGTGACACACCAGGGAAGAAGGCAGTAGAAACTTCCTTTGAGGGATAGCAGATGTAGGATAAAGGTTAAGCAGCTGTTATAAATATGTTCAAAGATCTGAAGGAAACCAGATACAAAGAATTAAAATATGCTGACAACATCTCATCAAATAGAAAACATAAACAAAAAGATAGTAATTACAAAAAAAGGACCAAATGGAAGTTTTTGAGTTGAAAAGTACAATAACCAAAGTGAAAATTTTACTGGAGAGACTCAACGGTAAATTTGAACTGGCAGAAGAATCAGTAAACCTGAAGGTCGTGATCGTGAAATCTGAAGCACAGAGAGAAAAAAGAATGAGGGAAAACTGCCTTCCTCATACCACATACCACAAATTAACTCAAAATGGATTATAAATCTAAATGTAAGCAAAAACAGTAAAACTTGGTGAAGAAAAGCACAGAAGTAAGTATTTATGACCATTGTTTAGACAAAGCCACCTCAGATATGACACCAAAATCACAAATGAAAAAATAAGAGACAAAAAGAAATATATACAATCTTTATTAGATTGTAAAGCTGATCTGTTTCATTTAGCTTGGATTAATATCAGTTTAATTTCAATAAAAAACTTTGCTCTATACAGCTTCATTTCTCCACCACCATGCTGTTACTGTCACAGATTATATCTTTGTAAACTGTGTACCCATAAATGTAGATTTATAATTATTGCTTTATGCATTTGTCTTTTAATTTAGAAGGTGGAAGAGTTACAAATAAAAAGCACATTTTTTTTCTTTTGTATTCACCTATGCTGGTGTCAGTTCTGTATTTTTTTGTGTGTGTGGAATTGAGATACTATGCAGTGTTATTTAAACCTGAAGGGCTTTTTTTTTGTAAGACAGTTCTAGCAATGTTTATCTGAAAAATGTCTTAATTTTTCCTTCCTTTTTGAAGGACAGTTTTGCTGAATATAGAATTCTTGGTTGGCAGTTTTTTCTATGCATAACTTTGACTGTATCATCTCCCTGCCATCTGGCTTACATAGTTTCTGACGATAAACCAGCTGTAAATCTTACTGAGGACCCTTTGTATGTGATGAGTCACTTCTCTCTTGCTGCTTTCAAGATTCTCTGTTTTTCAGCAGTTTGATTATGATATGTCTGGTGTGCATATCTTTAAGTTTATCCTACTTGAATTTCTTGAAGCTTTTTGAATTGGAAGACTAATATTTTTCATCAAATTTGGGAAGTTTTGTTTATTATTTTCTCAAATATCCTTTCTGACGCTTCCCCCCCCTTCTGTCCTTTGAGACTCATATTTTGTATATGCTGTTATGCTTGATAGTGTCCCATGGGTCTCTGAGGCTCTGTTTATTTCTCTTCATTATTTTGTCTTTCTGTTCCTCAACCTGGACAGTGTCAATTGACTTATCTTTAAGTTCTTACATTCTTTCTTCTAACTGTTCAAATCTCTCCTTCTAGTGAAATTTTAATTTCAGTCATTTTACTTTTCAGCTCTGTAATTGAAAGTTCTATAGTTAAAAGTTCTCTTCATAACATCTATCTATTTATTTATATTTATTTATATTATCTGGTTGAGGCATTATTCTCTTACTTTTCTTTCATTCCTTAAACATGGTTTCCTTTAGCTCTTTGAACATACTTAAAATAGCTAAGTTAAAATCTTTGGAAAAATCCAATACCTGACCTTTCTTAAGATTCCTATTGATTGCTTTTTTCTGTGTATGGGCAATGCTTTCCTCTTTCTTTGCATGCCTTGTAATTTTTTTTGTAAATAGGACATTAAATTTTTTTATTGAGTTATAGTCATTTTACAATGTTGTGTCAAATTCCAGTGTAGAGCACAATTTTTAGTTATACATGAACATACATATATTTGTTGTCACATTTTTTTTTTTGCTGTGAGCTACCACAAGATCTTGCATATATTTCCCTGTGCTATACAGTATAATCTTGTTTATTCTATATATGCCTGTCAGTTTCTACAAATTTTGAAATCCCTGTCTGTCCCTTCCTACCCTCCGCCCCCTTGGCAACCACAAGTTTGTATTCTATGTCTATGAGTCTGTTTCTGTTTTGTATTTATGTTTTTTTTTAATTCCACATATGAATGATCTCATATGGTATTTTTCTTTGTCTTTCTGGCTTACTTCACTTAGAATGACATTCTCCAGGGACCTCCATGTTGCTGCAAATGGCATTATGTTGTCATTTTTATGGCTGAATAGTATTCCATTGTATAAATATACCACATCTTCTTTATCCAGTCAGCTGTTGATGGACATTTAGGCTGTTTCCATGTCTTGGCTATTGTAAATAGTGCTGCTATGAACATTGGCGTGCAGGTGTCTTTCTGAAGTAGGGTTCCTTCTGGATATATGCCCAGGAGCAGGATTCCTGGGTCATATGGTAAATCTATTCCTAGT